CTCCCTTTGGGCATTGTTTGAGGGGTACTGAAGGTGGAAGGGCGGTCGCGGTTACGGTTGTTTGTACACAGAGGGGTTGCGTGCCCCTCCCTGCCACTTTTTTATCTCATCATCCGGACCCCTCGAAAAGTGGGCCGGGAGCCCTCTGCCTGCACGAGGTGCGGCTAGGGCTTTTTGCCTGCAGGCACGGTGACTCCGGAACGGTGGAGTCGAGGGCGGCGGAGGGAGAACGGGGTTTGGCACGCGCGGTTCTCCCCTACCGCTGACTCCACGGCTGCCATTTTGTGGCTGCTGAGCGCCCGCCTGCCGACGTTTGCGCAGGCGCGGTCGTGGCGTCGCGAGATTCCGGCTTCCACCCGCTGTGACGCGCCCCGGAGGCGGGGACGCGCGAGCGCGCGGCCGGCCGCCATTGGGCTGGCCTTGCGGAGGGCGGGGTCGGCTCCGCCCGCACTTCTCGGCCTTTCCTAACTGCGGCAGATGGGAGGGGGCCCGAGAGCCGCGGAGAGTGTGCGGCTGCGCAGTTAGGTGGCAGTGGGCGTTGCGGTTGCTGCGGTCTGGGCCTAGGGAGGGATCGTGTTGGGAGCCAGGTTTTAATTTTGTCTGCAAGGGACCTGGCCTAATGAGAGGCACTCTTGGCAGTCTTGTTTGTAACGTCACTGGGTAAACATTTTGTGCCATGTATGTTTTTGCTCCGTTAACCAGGCATTCCTCTGTGACAGTCATTTGGTATTGTCTGTATTGAATTATTTTCTAGCAGGAAATACTAGGCGGACATCATGAGTGGCTGTCGAGTATTCATCGGGAGGCTAAATCCGGCGGCCAGGGAGAAAGACGTGGAAAGATTTTTCAAGGGTTATGGACGAATAAGGGATATTGATCTGAAAAGAGGCTTTGGTTTTGTGGTGAGTATTTAGAACGAGGTGAATTATTTGTCGAGTAGGTAAAACTTTTGATAAACTATGTTTTTGATCCTTCTTTCTTCCAGGTAGGATATTTGTCTTGCGGAAATGTCATGCAGCCTTGAGGCAGTGAATTTTATTAAGGGTTAAAAGAAGATATTACCTGCTGGCTGACTGGAACCCACTCCAAGTCACTTTTTTTTTTTTTTTGAGACCGAGTCTCACTCTCTTGCCTGGGCTAGAGTGCCATGGCATCAACCTAGCTCACAGCAACCTCAAACGCCTGGGCTCAACCAGTCCTTCTGCCTCAGCCTCCCAGGTAGCTGGGACTACAGGCACGCGCCACCATGCCCGGCTAATTTTTTCTATTTTTGGTTGTTTGGCCAATTTCTTTCTATTTTTAGTAGAGACGGGGTCTCGCTCTTGCTCAGGCTGGTCTTGAACTCCGGAGCTCAAACGATCCGCCCGCCTCGACCTCCCAGAGTGCTAGGATTACAGGTGTCAGCCACCATGCCTGACCCCTAGTCACTTCTTGGTTAGGGTTATCTGTATGGCAGTGCCATTAGGATACTTTTCCTATTCTGTCTCACATTTTTAGTACTCTTAATATGTCGTAGAATACTCGTTGAAAGCCACGTTGAGCGTCTTACACTTATATTTTAGGAATTTGAGGATCCGAGGGATGCGGATGATGCCGTATATGAACTTGATGGAAAAGAACTCTGTAGTGAAAGGTGAGAATTTTAGTTCTATAACTAGTTAGGCCTAGAATGTAGAGCAGACTAGGTCAGCTGGGATATTTTTCTAAGTAGATGTTTAATGTAGCTTGAGTGTATAATGGAGATTTTTCTTCCCTTTCTGTAGGGTTACTATTGAACATGCTCGGGCTCGGTCTCGAGGTGGAAGAGGTAGAGGACGATACTCTGATCGTTTTAGTAGTCGCAGACCTCGAAATGATAGACGGTATGTGATGGGTGGATTATCTTACAGGCAGTATTTATGGTTCAGGAGTTAACAGGAATATTGATTATGGGACTTACTGTGTATTATGTTCTGTTATTCCCATGTTAAGCCCACTGTCTGGAGGAATCTATATAATAAGTTACATAGAATAACACAGAAACCGTTGATGGAAGTCATTTGAATGACTTGTCATGTTGGATTGTTGAACTTGCCCACACTTGAATACACAAGAAGTGCACATCACCGTGTTTCTTCCATTGTGAATACTCATTTTCTTCCTTAGAAATGCTCCACCTGTAAGAACAGAAAATCGGCTTATAGTTGAGAATTTATCCTCAAGAGTCAGCTGGCAGGTTTGTTGAAACACAGTTTTGAGTTATTTTAATGTGGCTTTTTAAAAAAGTTAATGGGTAGCTAATGTTTTATTATATTTTATTAAAAGTAGTTTTATCTTTGATTAAATTAATGGATTTAATTGTAATTTTAAAAATTTAATTAAATGTAATTGGGGGATATTATAAACTTTAATATTAGTTATCAAATGTAAATGTTTTGAGGATATTTTTCTTGTTCTTGAAAATCAATTTTAACCAAATATTAAACCCTTTATTTGCCAGCCTATCTGTGTCGTTGGCCTTATGACGAGGAGTGCCTGTGGGTTATCCTAATCGTTGTCTTGGTCACTCTTGGTTGGGCCTGGTTGACTTTGCCAGTCAGCTCCTACAGTGATCAGTTGGCCACCTCTAGATCTGTGTTTGCCGGTCTAGACGTAATCGGTGCACTTACTTGAAGTGCCAGGTTGCAGCGATCCCAGAGCGTTGATAACGTGATCTGATCCCTAAGTTGAGAGCTGTCTTCCTGTAACGCTTCCGAATAAGAGGTCCTGGTGGAAAAGAGTTGAAAGATACGAAATTAGGTGGTCGTTGGAATCCTGATCGCAGTAAAGTGGTCCTTGGTAACTGCTCAAGAGTAGAACATGTCTGCATCCGCCAGTAGTCTGCTAATAGGGAGGGCTGTGCGATTAAAGGCTTCCATCGATTGGGTAGTGTCCTTCAAGTGGGTGGCGAAGAGCCAGTCTGGCCTATGTCATGAAGGTTTCTCCGACCGATTAATGGTTTGCTGCTTGACTAGCCTAGGGAAATATTGATAAAGGTAAAGTAAACTTTTTTAATGACATATGGGGCACAAAATAACTGGTGTCTTGTAAATGTTCTGTTTTTTAAATATAAAACTTCTACTTTAGTCTTTACTTTAAAAATATGTACTGTTTCTCTTTTTTGTTTTTTTTTTTTTTTGTTTGTTTGTTTTTTCCTTTTGTACTGGGCTCAATATAGACTAATACTACTTTAATGTTAAAATCTGAATTCCCTCTAGCATTTTGCTTAAAGCAATATGCTATTTGCTTATTTCGTGCCCTGACATAGATAATTTTTGAATTCTGATAGAATACAAGTATGGTACATACCATGTTTGTACTTTATCTAACATCTTCTCTTTCAGTAGTCTTGTTTTTATACCATGTGGTTGTTTGTGTGTCGCCTTTCCTCTTCGCTGCTTAACACAGTTGTCTTGTGTTAAGGATCTCAAAGATTTCATGAGACAAGCTGGGGAAGTAACCTTTGCGGATGCACATCGACCTAAATTAAATGAAGGGTGAGTGTGTACTGGAGGTTGTGAAAACCTTTTAAAATGTCCTGAAAATTTTACTGTAAACATTTCTCAAGACTTAAAATTTGAATATGCTGAAATGTAGTAGTTCTCCAGGGACAGTTTTGCTCCCTAGGGGATGTTTCGTAGTGTTGGGAGACATGTTTGGTTGTCAAAACTGGTTGAGGGTGCTTCTGGCATCCAGTGGGTAGAGGCGAGGCATGCTGCTAAGCATCCCATCACAAAGAATTATCTGGCTTAAAATGTAACAGTACTGAAACTTTGCTGTCTAATGCTGTGTTATCTATCAAGAAATGGGAATGTAGCAGTAGCAAACTGAAGACAGAAACAGTTCATCTAGACTGCTATACAAGTGTGCGAGACTACAGGATGTGTAAACTTTAAAAATGTTTTTTTCCCATTGTAGGGTGGTTGAGTTTGCCTCTTATGGTGACTTAAAGAATGCTATTGAAAAACTTTCTGGAAAGGAAATAAATGGGAGAAAAATAAAATTAATTGAAGGCAGCAAAAGGCACAGGTATCTGTTATATTTTTAAGACAAATTTTATTGGATGGATTTGTGGGGTGTGTCATGTAGGCTGATTTCCTTCCCTCCTCTCCCTTTTCATAGTAGGTCAAGAAGCAGGTCTCGATCTCGGACCAGAAGTTCCTCTAGGTCTCGTAGCCGATCTCGTTCCCGTAGTCGAAAGTCTTATAGCCGGTCAAGGAGCAGGAGCCGGAGCCGGAGCAAGTCCCGTTCTGTTAGTAGGTCTCCCGTGCCTGAGAAGAGCCAGAAACGTGGTTCTTCAAGTAGATCTAAGTCTCCAGCATCTGTGGATCGCCAGAGGTCCCGGTCCCGATCAAGGTCCAGATCAGTTGACAGTGGCAATTAAAACTGTAAATAACTTGCCCTGGGGGCCTTTTTTAAAAACAAATTCCCAAACCATACTTGCTAAAAATTCTGGTAAGTATGTGCTTTTCTGTGGGGGTGGGGTTTGGAGGGGGGTTGGGGGTGGGTGGATATCTTTGTAGATGTGGACCACCAAGGGGTTGTTGAAAACTAATTGTATTAAATGTTTTTTGATAAGCCTTCTGCTCACATTTTTGTGAATGTCTGAAGTATATAGTTTGTGTATATTGCCAAGAGCTCTTTTATAACTAAAGCAAATTTAATTCTTTTGTACTAGAAAAAAATTTGAACATTTTGATTTCTTGATTATTCAAATATGTTAATTCAGAATTAGTTTAATGCCTCAGTTAAACTAATTAATAGCTTTGGACACTTAAAAGAGCTCTAAATTTGCTTGTACATAAAGGCTTAATTTGAGTTTTCTTTGTTTAGGGTCAAGGGTGTCCTCCCACTCACCCTTTTAAAAAAACAGCTGCAGGACAGACACATAAAAGCAGCTGTTTGTTATAATAAAATACTATAAAACTGCTTTTTGTCTGGTTTTTCTGAAGAGTTCATATGCTGTTTATTCCTCATCTCCGTCTACATACATTTAAAATACGTACAACACCTCTAGAATCCTGGGGTTTATGATGTTTGTTTTTTTTTTTTAAGTAGTATTTTTGACAGTTCTAGGCTAGTCAAAAGATAAGCAAAGACATTGGCGAACTGTTAATAGTGACTAAGTTGTTTGGCAGTTTCCCTTGTGTCTGTGTTCTCCTGTGCTCTTCCTTTATTATCTCTGCTGGCATTGAGTTACTTAACTTCCAGAGCCAAGTGAAGGACAGTATATTTGGGAAGCAAATTATAAAATTTAATGGGTTTCTTGCTTTCCCTGAAAGTTACACAGTTGTGATGGTCAGATGATAGAAAGTTTTTTGTCAGTGAGTATGATTAAGGGGCTTTCACATTCTGCTTTTAGTCCTGAGACATGTATGACAACAACATGGTTAAGGGGAAACAGTAGTGAAAACTGCTGAGGTCCTATGTTTATCTTTAGTCAAGTGTTAGAGTCCTCTGTATTTGAGCCCTCAAACCTTGCCCAATAAGTGCAGGAAATGCACTTTATAGAAATCTGAAGGACTGATTAGATAGTCTTCTTTTTTTTAGGGTGCTAGGCTAGATAAATTGGTAACAGTGAATAACATCTTTTTAACATAATTATACTAGCCAGATGTGTTTTAAGTGCCTTACCTGTGTATTAACTGAATTGTTAACACCATTTAACAGGAGGACACTCTGGAACTTCTCAAAGAACAAGTTAAGTGGTAGATTGATACTAGAATCCAGGAAGTCTGGTTCTAGGACCCCAAAACCGCCTTTTCTCTTGACATAGACTCTCACGCCCCCAGCCGTTCAGGGATTTTGAGGAAGGCAGAGTTAGAAATGGCGGAAAAAGTTAGCTTTTTTGGCTTCCTGAAAGTGAGTGTTGCAGAGTGGGAATTGGCATTTGTGGGGAGGGTTGAAAGGATTTTGGTATCTTTGTGTAAAGGTGACTTCCTGGCAGTTTTCAAGACTGGAACTTAAACCATGAGATTGTGAAACTGATTATTAATAAGAGGCTGAAGTCAGGAGGAGTTTATGTTATACTTGCTAATTTATTTGAGGGGACTGTTTATTTTCATCTATGGTGAAATCTAGAGTTTTCTTTTTGTAATGTATCTCTCAAGGCAGTACCAGCCAGCCAAAAGCTGCTATCAAAGTCATCCTGATTTGGTTTCTGCCTTCATAGAGTTTATAGGCACTCAGCAAGTCTTACTTTTTTAAGCAAGTAGTAAATCCTAGTCTGGGAGTAGGCGAGGCTTTTCGGGTAGACATCGTCTCTGTCTTCTCAGGCAAGGCTTGATGATTCTGATACGTTTGCTGGAGAAAGACTCGGGCAAGACTGGTGGTTTTTTTGTTCCTCTGTAATGTACCACACTGGTTTTCTGAATTGCTTTATGGCCAGAGTCCAGGTGGAGAAGTAGAATGTACAAGGGGAGCAGTCTTCTATTTTGTGGGTCCCATTTTTCAGAGCTCCTGGAGTTGTTCTTCATTTGTGGTAGCTGTGTACACCATTTTTGTTTTATCTGTGAAGTTAAAAAGAGTCAGGTGTAGAGGGAGGACAAAAAGTAGTTAAAAAGCTTGTTCAATCTGGAAAATGAAAGAATACCAATTTATCCCTAGAGTGTGCTATATACACACATATATATGTGCGTGTATTTTTTTTCTCTTTCCACCTCTTGACTTTCCTATTTACTTTTTTTTTTGAGGGGGAGACAGAGTCTCACTCTGTTGTCCAGGCTAGAGTGCTATGGCGTCAGCCTAGCTCACGGCAACCTCAGACTCCTGGGCTCAAGTGATCCTTCTGCCTCAGCCTCCTGGGTAGCTGGGACTAAGGCATGCACCACCATGCCCGGCTAATTTTTTCTATATATTTTTAGTTGTCCAGCTAATTTCTTTCTACTTTTTTTTTAGTAGAGACGGGGTCTTGCTCTTGCTCAGGCTGGTCTCGAACTCCTGAGCTCAAACGATCTTCCTGCCTCGGTCTCCCAGAGCGCTAGAATTACAGGCGTGAGCCACTGTGCCCGGCCCCTATTTCCTCTTAAACTTGACTTTCCCCCCAGTCTCCCTAGTGATGGTACTAGTAATAAAAGGCCTAATTAATATTAAAAGTATTGAGCCTTCATTATCTCTACCTTCTTTGTACATCCAGTAAAACAATAGGGGAGGTGGGTTTAGTTTGCAAGGATGATTTATACTTAGAGTAAGGAGGGGAAGGAAGGAAACAGCTTTAGGAAGGTCTAGCCAGGAGAGTTTGCAAACTTCTCCCTGTCCTCTCTGTCCTCCACTTCGATCTATTCCTTTTCCTTCCCATGTAGAGGTGGTGAGTAGCTTTGGAGGTAAGAGGCCAGGTCCACCTTATCTGTTCTGCTGTCTCTGTAGAAGGGTACAGGAATCAAAAAAGAAAAACTTGTGACAGATTCTTCACCCTGAGAATAGCTGTTTGGGGCCATTAGCTCCAAAGGTAAGTTGCTTTCACTTAGTTTTGCCACTGGGGTTTTCTGAGATAACATTGTGAGGAAAGTTTTTTTTTAAAATGACAGAATCTTTGTCAATCCAGGCTGGAGTACAGTGGTGTGATCATAGTTCACTGCAGCCTGGAACTCCCGGGCTCAAACAATCCTCCCACCTCAGCCTCCCAAGTAGCTGGAACTGCAGGTGTGCGCCACTGCAACCACCGGCTAAATTTGAAATTTTTTGTAGAGAACAGGTTCTAGCCTTGTTGCCCGGACTGATCTCAAACTCCTGGCCTCAAGCAGTCCTCTGGCATCAGCTTTCCAGAGTGCTAGGATTACAGGTGTGAGCCACCACGTGCAGCCTGGAAATTTTTTTATAGGGCTAAAGAGCCAGAGTATTGCCCCCTGAGGGCATTCCAGGCCTTTCTGGTACTCAACCCTTAACCTGGTTGAGGAACCTGGTTGGTTGATCTAGAAATTTCTCCTGTGCTTTTTTTTTTTTTAAAGGTAGAAACCTCATGGGCAACAAATCTCTTGAGTTGCTCTGAGAAAAGCATCGGACTAGATTCTTTTATACAACTCCACTGTAGTTTGGAACTAAAGCTTTTATAAAGGTTCAGCCATTTTATGTCAGCCTTTGGTTTCTTTTCAGCTGCTTGATAACCAAAGTACTTCATAGCCAATTGTAAAGGGAGAGAGAACCTACATTTGCTAGTATGAATTCCAACAGAGAAGGTTGTATATTTTTCTAGGGTGTAAATCGCCATCCTTAGGAACTAGAAAAGGTTTCCAAGGGGCCCTCCATTCATGGGAATTAAGAGGCAGTTGAAGGATTTGGGTAAGTGGTTAGGAAGAATATATTGATGTTTGGAGTTATAAAGTAATGAAATGTGTTATAAAAGCTGAGTTTCCTGGTTCAAGAAAAAAAATGTGGAGTTAAAGTATACTTTGAGGATGGGACTGTGGTTTTTTTTTGAGGTTTGATTATATTTGGAAGGTAATGCTCATTTTAGAAAAGGTACTGTATTAATCCAGTAGTAGATTAAAGTATAACTCATACTAATCAAGTTTATTGTAGTTGTGGTCACTGTTTAATAAACGTTTATGTGTAAATTTACTGTGTAACCAGAGTTGAGGAATCCTCTTTTTTGGATTCTGGGTTATATTAGGCTGCATTGCTTTAATGTTTTTCCTCATGGGGATGCCAGAGGTGCTGGAGCTCTAACCTGGTCCCACAACATGAGAACCTCATCCTAAAAAATAAACTTCAAACTTCATGGGTTCTTATGGTTGAGGCCTTTCACTCATCTATTATCTCAGGACTGTCACATGTCCAGAGCAGTTCTGTCCTATTTCCTCATACTGAGGAAATTGTGTCTGAGTCCAAATTGCCTGAGTCCTATGAGGTAAACTGCATCCATAATTTGATTTTCCCAGCTAGAAGACAGAAATGAAATGCAGTTGATGGAAGTAGCCTTGGCTCTTTAAGGTTTCTTGCATACTTCTTGGTGCTACCTGGTTCTTAATGACTTGGTAAGAGTTAATGCTCCATCCAAAAAGTTCATACTAGAAACTTGCTTGTTGGCAGACACAGGTCCAAAATGAGGCGGAACTTGAAGAGGGGGGCGATAATTGAGTACTCACCCTTGGGAGTCTTGATTTTCTCATAGCACCGAAAGGTGGCAATGAGGAAAAGCCCTTCTCCAAGCTGGAAAATCGTGTAGAGGAGAGGAAAAAAGAAAAGCGGTCCAATGACTTCAGGGGGAAAGGTCACATTGAGGATGGTGGCACAGAGATGAGTATTTTGGCATCCGGTCTCCATGCCGACAGTGCGCCTGCACCTGTGTAGGTGGGACAGTAAAAACCATGTATGCCCTCGCAGAAGGGACATGAGGGAGCAACTTTGCTTGCACTTCTCTTCCCTCCCAGATACTCCAGGATCCAGTGAACAGTCCAACATAGGAAGATGGAAGGGAGCCAGGTATGTGGGGTGCTTGTGGGTTCAAAGAAAGTCAAGTAGACCCACTTGACACTAACTGAGCCCTGAGGGGATGGTGACTAGTTGGTTCATGTCTGGAGGTTTTATGAGAGGTTTTTTAAGTAGCTTGGAAATCTATAACTTGTCTGCTCCTGCAAGATTGCCAAAGTCTGAAAAAATGTCTGGCTGTTGAGGGATGAAAGGAAGGTGTGAGCCAGTATCATTGAGTGGCTTGTTATGTTGGGCTAATGGGACAAGTATACTTTCAACATACAGCAGAAGATAGTTTGTCTGAAATGTCTGGGACCTTATCCTGTTTCCAGGTTTCTGGCTTAGACATTTAACTATCACAAACGTGATAATTACAACAGCAACAATAAAACCCAAACTTGATTGAGCCCCGTTATCAATCTTTGGAACACATTCTCTTAGTTTTGCTTTGTATTTTATGGATTAAAGGGTGGGATGTTTACATTTAATGAGTATAGATACAATTCATTACATTATTGATTGTGTTAAAATAATTATTAAAACCCTGAGAGACATCATAGCACCTTTATTATGAAGGAGACTACTGTGACAGAACTTGGCACTGTGGCCATTATCATCTCCATCACCCTGTTTTGGTGAAAATTGACATCACTAAGTGGTTATTGGCAGCCTTTTGGCTCACTATATCATCATATGTTACATCTTGTAGTAATTCATTCTTTATTAAATTACATTGGTTTTAAAAATGGATAATTATCTTTTAAATTGTATTTTTAAAATTCAGGGTGTTCTTTTTTGGGGGGTGTACTACTAATGTTTAGACTCTTGCATCAGTATTTGTTTACCATGGCTGAAAAGAGGAAAAGTCCTTGTACTAGTCTGGGTAGACAGGAGGGTGCCTGATGTTTCCACACCATGCCCTCAAACTGTTCTCTAAAGTAGCAGCTGTGTATGTGAACTGGATTACACTTTAGCCAAGGTCCACAGCTACTTCAGATCTCAGTGTCATTTAGCAGAACTGTTACCCAGTGGTGTCCTTGTCGGGACTAAAGCCTAGGCAGAAAAGGAAGAAAAGTGGGAAAGGAAGAGTATTTGTCAACACTTGCTATGATGACATGAAACTACCCCAGTGCCAATAACTATCAAGGAGTTGGGCAGGAGATGGTATCGACATTTGGTGTGTCTGGGGGTACTTTGCCATTAGCTGTTGCTGTTTGGGTGATAGGGTTTAGCTGGTGCATTTGAACATACTGCTAGGAAAATGCCTCGCCCAGATCTTGGGTTCCTAGCTCCTTATCCTTTTCCTGAGAGGCTAGGACAAGAATAAAGCCCATGGCAGAGTGGTGCCTAAAATAATACCTACCGTCCATTGAGGCGGAAGAGAGCAGAGAGAAGGTAGCCCAGCAGAAAGCCAATAAGGGGCATCAGGAAGGAACTGGCCAGCAAGGTTGGTGTCATGGCATACACGATGCTCTTGCCCACATTGATGGCAGAAAGGGTGACGATGGCCCCACTGAATGTGGCAATGATTAGCATCCCTCCCTGGGCATGAGACAAGAAAAAGTGGTTAGAAGGGTGGAGAATAGGGAGGAATATAGAGGTGGGGATTGGAGGTGGAAGGGAATGTGAAAGACCTCTATCTTCCATCTTTTTGGATTTCTTATTGGTAGCTAGGAAGCCTGGAGGACAGAGCTAATCTGATCAATGCTTTCATTACTAAAATCTCAGCCAAGAATAGCTACTGCTTTTGACTTCTCTGGATAGCAGATTTTCAGGCAATAGCTTTGAAGGAATGAGTCTGTTCAGGTATCCTGCAAAGTGCATATTGTAAATTAAAAGTTTCAAAATCATTATTTTGGAACTTGTATACACATGTTCCATAGTACTGTCATTGTTCCAAATATTTTGGAACTCATTAGAACTTGTCATACTTGTCTCAAATACCTCCAATACAGGTAGGAACTTCATCCGTTTGAGGATGAATTTGACTTCTGGAAATCGCCAAGAGTTATTTGAAGTGAAGCTGGTAAATAAGGTGGACGATCAAGCCAGGTAATACGATTTTACATCCAAAATGGTGTGTAACCATATGGGGACAGGCCTACTTTCTTGAGTGACCTGCAAATTGAATATGAAGGAAATGCCCCAAAGAACTTTGAGAAACGTCTTGGGCAATAAAAACATCATCGGAAAGTATGCCGGTCCACCCTGTCCCAGGTGAGTGCTGTGAAAGCAGCATTCATTGGGAACAATGGTATGGTTTTCATTTGTTTTAAAAGTTGTTTATTCTTATTTGAATCTTACATACCATTTAAAATTTTCAGTATGTGACTTTACGATGAAATTATAATGTTAAGGTTTTTCATTACGTAACATGGGATGAAAGCTTTGGCATGTACTTCCATGCACTTTGCACTTTCCAAAGTGCATTTCAAAGAATCACGACTCCAAAATGATAAACATGTTGCATAAATTTAGCGCTGTGTGTCCCTTTCATCTTCTGAGTAAAGGGATACATAGCAAACTTTTCTCAAACTTAACATGTTATTTTGTAATAGTTATACGTGTTCAGTTTCTAGTACATTCACATGTATAGCATTTTATATTTCCTAGTAACACTTAAAGAATTAATGGTAAAATACCTATAATGAAATTTGCCGTTTTAATCATTTTTGAGCATACAGTTCAATGGCATTAAGTACATTCACATGTTGTCCTAATGACATTTTTAACATTTATTTTTATTGCTCAAATTTCAGCTGCACAGCTTTGCATTTCTGTTTTTAATCCATACTGTAACTGATGTGATCATATAAAACATCACCTGTACCAACAAGTGGTCCTATTCTAGGATAGGAGTGACATTCACACATCTCACCAATAACCACGTGCTTCAAGTTTTATTAAAAGACTTATTCTAATGGGCTTCCCGCTTTGCCTTGCATTTTTAATTGATTTCTCCTTTGGGATTTGCCCTTTACCCAGTGACCAAATAGTTTTTACCTTCATAAAAAGAGTGTAATGGATAGATAATGTAGGGGACATTGGGCTAGAGGAATTGTCCATAAATCCAGAAACCCTCTTCCTCTGCACGTGTGTTGACTCTCATTCTCCCCCTCTTATTTCCTCACACCGGGGGGCTGCAGAGTGGTGGTTATGAGCACAGACTTTGTCCTGATCCAGGTTTGAAAGCTGTCTGTGCTCGTCTCTAGATGTGTAAACTTTGGTCAGCCACTCAGCCTCTCAGAGTGAGGTTGACAGCACAGGACCTGGCTGGCTTATAAGGACCACTCATTAAGGACCACCACTTCTGCCAGAGCTAGTTATTGGAAATTAGGTTATTTCAATTTGAAAGGTTCTAGGAGGGTTGTGTGTACAGAGGCTAGGATGATAATTTGTTCATTTCTCAGCTTGGCACTGTATTATTTATGGGACACAAAGATGAAGGATGACCATAGCCCTCGGAGAGCCATAAAACCAAGGAAACCTCAGCTATTGCATCTTGATCCACATGTTTGTCTCTGCATCCTCACAGGAGTGATTCCTGTTTGGGAGTATGTGAAAATCAAATGGAGCTCTTGACCTTATGGTCGTTTAACCCCGGAGGTTTAGCCAGGAGCAAAATGGGTCCAAGGTATGCCTGGGTTTTGTAGATCACCTTTTATGTAGTCCATTGTTGGTGGTCCTTGTCTTTCTAGCCCAAGTATTAATATTTCTTAGCCCTTCTAATATTCTCTGGGGTCATTTTGACTCCATTTTCGCTGTGGCATTGAGTAGTGCATATGTAACAACAAGAACAGGAGACTGGTTGATAATCCTGGCTCTTCCAAGTAACTTTTCTGGGCCTCAGTTCAGTCTGCAAATTGGGAATAAGACAGGAGACTGAACTTGATCTTAAAGGCTTCTCCAGCTTTAAGATCTGAGATCCTGCCTTTGCATCCTCAAAAGAACACTTTTTCAGTTACGCTGAGGTAAAAAGGAGACATATTCTCGTATCAGTTGTCATTAGCAGTGTGAACTTGGGATTCCGGTCCCTGGTTTTCCTACCTACAAAAAAGGGGTGGGCAGAATTGCATTAAATGATAGTGGGGGTCACTTTACATTTTTATATTCTGATTTTTAAAATTCTATATACCCCACAGACTATCTTGAAATAAAATCATGGACACAAATATGTTTCCGTTTCTGTTTGTTTTTTCCTGCTGATGTGTGGAATTGACAGGTAGCAGACAGGACTTGCCCTTCATTTCTTTATTTTCAGGGTACTGTGATAGGTGCTGTGGATTCGGTGTTAATTAAGACAGCTTTATGGCCTTGCTTCTTGAGACACAGGTGAGTGGGGAATAAAAATGAACAAGTATTTATAATACAGTGTAATAACCACCACAAGGGTTGGCAGGTGTTGGGTGCTATGGGAGCGAATAGGACAAACATCCTACCCAGGCTTGGTGGGGGGCTTCAAGAAGCCTTCCTGGAGGAGGTGCTATTTGTGTTGAGACTTTAAGGGTGAGTAGGAGTGACCCAGTGAAAGATGATGAGTGGCATGGGAATTGGGGAGAAGAATGTTCGAGGTGAAGGGAAGGGCATGTGCAAAGAGAAGAGAGCTGAGACTGGTGAGGTCAGCTGAGACCAATAAAGGCCTGAGGCTCCACATTAAGCAGTTAATACTTTATCCTGGAGGGGAATAAGGAACCAATGAGTTCCTTACATGATAGAGTTTGTTTACATCTCTACTTTCAAGTTAAAACTGGGTCAGGGAGTCAAGTTAGAAGGCTGTTTCAGTTGTCTAGTGAGAGGATAGTGGCCTGAATGAAGATAGTGCAGCTAAGGAGGGAGAGGAATGAAGGGATTCAAGCAACAGAAGGGGGAATTGATGGTCAGAGATTACACGGGTGTGAGTGGGGAGGGAGAAGGGAATGTTGAAAATGACTTTCTAGTTGAGGCAGGCACACAGATTGTCACTGAGATAGTCACACGGAGAGGAGGGGAGAGCAGGCTTAGGGAAGAGATGATAGTAGTTTAAAACATACTAAGTTTTAAATGTCTGAGGTAGAAAGATCCAGCAGGCAATAAATGGACCCCGGCGTCAGGAGAGTTGAGGGCTGATGATGCTGTTGTGGAAGCCATCAGCTTGCAGACGGTAGCTGCAGACCTGAGATGGATCAGATCCTGCCATGGGGAGATGCTGGGCTGGGGTAAGTCTGGCAAGAAAGGCAGAAAGCTTGGTCTGAATGCAGAGAAATTACCTTTTCTAGAGGAACCCACAAAGGAGTCTGAACAGAAGTCATGAGAGATGGTAGGAAAGCAGCAGAGCTTGGAGTCACCAAAGCTGAGGGAGAAAGCTTTTGAGAAGGAGCCAGTGGTCAGTTACGTCAAATTCTGCTAAAAGGTCGAGGAAAGATTGAAGAATGTTGGATCTGGCAAAGAAAGTGGAGTAGGTGGTCATTAAAGTGCTGAGAAAGTGGGAGACCAAGGAGGAGAGAAGAGAGGGATTCAACTAACAGGCTAATTGTTGGCCTGACCACTTGTGAGAGTTGTGGTGGCATGGTGGGGGTGGAAGGTGTTCGAAAGGAAGTGGGCTGAGAGATGAGGGGCAGTTTTTCTGAGGTCTGGCTAGGAGGAGGAGCAAAGAACGGTATTAGCTGGAATGGGAGGTGGATTCCACAAAAAATCCCAGTGAGGGATTTTTTTGTTTCTTAGACAGGAGAAATGTGAGCCTGTATCAATGCTGATTGTAAAGAACCAATATAGAAAGTTTTAGAAATGAGAGTGACGGGGGGAGGCTACTGGGGGAGGAGGCATAATCAATAAAAGGTGGTCTCTGAGAAGCAACGGTGAGAGGGTAGGAGATATACCCAGGGCCCCAGGGTGCGGGGGATGGGTAATCAGCCATGGACACAAGGAGGAATGACTTGTTCACGTCTTCCAGGAGGTGGGAAGGGGAGCTGTGACCATGGTGTGGGGACAGGGCAAGGGCAAAAACTACCCTTAAGACAATGGTAGTGTGAAAATAATCCTCCCCCACTCCCTGAAAACCTGACTTGCAGGTTTTTTGTTCCAGGCCCAAAACTGCCGCCAATCCTTGGGCTTCCAAGCAGCACACTCTGTAGACCAGGCCAAAAGTTTTGATCCAGGGGCAGAGATGATAACAGGAGGTCAGAAAGTGAAGTCCCTCCTGAGGACCAGGGTGTACTCCTGGTCCAGGGGTATGAACAGTGAGCCAGAGGGGAGGCTGACAAAGATCAAACTGCAAGGTTGAAAAAGTTGGTGGAGGATCCATGGTTGCATTCCAAGAGTCTGGGATTCTTCCAAGGGCAAGGCAGCGGCATGATGCCCTGTGACCACAATACTTCTCTAAACCCTCTGTGGCCTCACTTCACTCTACCTCCCATGTCCCTCCCAAAATGCTAGGAGTGTGTATACCACCTCTTTTTCCCTCTAACTTCTTGTCAAGTCAGGCAAGTTTGTCTTTGGTACTCTCTGAACTCCTATTCAGCCTTCTCCCCAAGCTTACCTAAATCCTACTCTTTCTTCATGGTTTGGCTCAAGCCCCTTCCCTTTAAAAAGCCGCCTTGACCACCTGGCCCTTACTAATCTCATCTTGCATCTGCCAGTACTTGCTTGTACACTGGTGTTGGATTTTGTTTCTCTTGTGTGTTACTTCACTTTCTGCAAATATCAAACTCTGGGGACAGTGAATCCTCAGTGCACAGTACAAAACTTAGCATCTATATAGTAGGAGCATGATACCAGTTTAATTTTATTATTAAAATAATGATTATACCTTATAGTTGTATATGATGTTTTTACTGTTTTGCTCTAAGTTTTCAAGCCCCAGGCTCTTACCTTCGTAACATAGGATACATATTGTGGCCGTTTGGATTTGAGGACGATTCCTATGGTGCAAGGAATGAGGACCAGGATCAGTGATATCATGATGCTGCCATAGGGCACCTTGTCCTTTACTTCCCCAGCATAGATCCCTCTGGAGTAGATGTACAAGAGGAGAGGCATCATGCCCAGGGCAAAGAAGGTGGAGCAGGTAGTCATCACAATACTGGGTGGGAGACATTGGAAGAAAGGAGAGAGAGAGAGAGAACGTGAGCAAGTGCATTAATACAAACTTTTGTTGAGTGCCTGCTATGTGCTAGGCACTGTGCTAAGTGCTTTATATAGGTTGCTTCATTTCCTTTTCCCAATATCCTTAGGCAGTAAGTGTACTATCTTCTTTTTGTTGTTGTTGTTGTTAATAAGGAAGCTAGGGACTCGAAGAGTTGTGTCTTGTCCAAAGCCACACAAGCTAGTAAGTAAGTAGCTAAGGCAGGATTTGAACCCAAGCCTGTTCAACTGTTTGAATCCCTGTGTGTGTGATTATGGAAGGAGCCATTCTGATCTCTTCTGCAACAGAACTGTTTTTGCTTTGAGCGCCTGCCATATGCACAGACTATTTTGAAGAAAGCTGTGTGATCCCATCATCCTGACTGTAGTCCATTGGATCATGGAACAGCACCTGACCCACAGTTGCTAAATGTCTCGCTTAGAGCCTAGGGAATGGCTGGATGTAGTAGCTTTGTCCAACTGAGATAATAAGGATTAACTATATCAAGTATGTTTTACCTCTTGGGAGTTTAAGTGTGAAACACAGTGACAGAGCACTTGGTCTTTGGGAATGGGTGGTATGGGAGTGATGGTCAGGCAGAAGCCAAAATGCCTAGTAAGAAAAAGCAGTAAACAGAGGTCATGATTACAACACCTATGACACAGTGGACACCTAGAACACATAAATACATATCTGAGCTTGTAAGAAAGTAAGGGAGGTCTCCTGTAATCCTAGCATTCTGGGAGGCCAAGGTGGGAGGATCACTTGAGGTCAGGAGTTTGAGACCAGCCTGAGCAAGAGTGAGACCCTGTCTCTACTAAAAATAGAAAATGTTAGCCAGTCAACTAAAAATAGAAACAAAAAATTAGCCAGGTGTGGTGGCTTGCACCTGTAGTCCCAGCTACTTGGGAGGCTGAGGCAGGAGGATCGCTTGAGCCCAGGAGTTTGAAGTTGCTGTGAGCTAGGCTAACACCACGGCACTCACTCTAGCCCAAGCAACAAAGTGAGACTCTGTCTCAAAAACAAAAAAAAAAAAAAAGAAAAAAAGGAAAGAAAGTAAGGGAGGTGCCCAGGAAAAAGAAACAATACACAGTAGTTAGCAGGCAGGCTCAAGCAGAAGCTGCACTGTATTGAGGGGTTAGAGAGTGGTGTGTTAGTTTTGATAATCTGGAGGGTTAGGTTTTAATGGCCAAGGGAGGTCATAGGCCTAGGATAGGAGGAACGTTGAAACTGAGAAATAAATAATAAAAGAAAGGATCATGGGAGCACAGGGGGCTTTCTAATTTCTCATGGATCAAATATGAAATCATGCCAAAAAATTATTTAGAATAGAATAATAAAATACCTATTTTAAAATGTGGGGAGGTGACATAGGGTTAGGCAATTGTTTCTTAGATATGATTCCTAAAGCTCAAGCAGCCAAAGAAAAAATAGATAAATCAGATTTTATTAAAATTAAAAACTTTTATGGTTTAAAGGACACTACCAAGAAAGTGAAAAGACAACACAGAGAATGGGAGAAAATATTTGCCAGTCATATGTCTGATAAGAGTCTAGTATTCAGAATATATGAAGAACTCTTACAATGTGATAATAAAAATAACTTAAAAATGCGCAAAAGATTTGAATAGATATTTTCTCCAAAGAAGATATACAAATGGCCAATAAGCCCATGAAAAGATGCTCAACATCATTACTTATTAGGGAAATTCAAATCAAAACCACAATGAGATGCCACTTCATACCCACTAGCATGACTATAATAAAGAGGTATGATAACAAGAGTTGGAGAGGATATGGAGAATTTGGAATCATCATACACTGCTGGTGGGAATGTAAAATGGTGCTTTGGAAAACAGTTTGGCAGTTTCTTAAAAATTTAAACACAGAGTTATATGACCCATAAATTCCACTCTTAGGTATATATTCCAAGAGAACTGAAAACATGTTCTCATAAAAACTTGTCTATGAATGCTCATAGCAGTGTTATTCATAATAGCCAAAAGGTGGAAACAACTCATATGTCTATCAGCTGAATGAATGAACAAAATACATTTAATAGTATATCCATACGATGTAATATTATTCAGTTACAAAAAGAAATGAGGTACTGCTACATGCTACCACATATGATGAATCTTGAAAATGTTATGCTAAGTGAAAGAAATCAAGACACAAAAAGTCTCATACTGAATGCTTCCATTTATATGAAATCCACAGAGAGAGAGAGAAAGTAGGTTCGTGGTTATCAAGGGCTGGATGGGGAGAGAGAAATGGGGACTCTATAATGAATATGGTGTTTCTTTTTGGAGTGATAAAAATGTTCTGAAATTAGATAATGGCGATAGTTGCACAGCCTTGGGAATATGCTAAAAAA